GATGCAGAACCACTATAGTTCTACAGTGAGGCACAGATAGAAAAATAGAGAAGAAAATATTGAGAATTTAGAACAATAAGCAAGTAAACTGTTTGACAGTGGTAACATTCACATTTTTTTATCCAAATTTTTTTTACAGCTTAGTATGCTTGTTTTTATAGTTTTGAAGTTTGAAGTGTCTTAAATGAAGTGATGATTATGAATTACCATTAGTTGCAAAGTAGCCAACTGTTTTTCGGCAAAATAACGATGTGATCTACGAGTTTGCGCAATGGATAGCACATGATAGAAAGCTACTGTTTTTGATGACAACTATGTGAATAGAGGTGTAAAAGAGGGAGATGCATTGATGAAAAAGATAATAGGGAAAATAGTGTTTAAAAAAAATAGTTGGTTCGGTTGGATTGAAAATTTAACAATTTCGATATTGCTAAGCATATGAAATGTCTTTAACTGTCCAAAGTGCAAATGAGAATTGGATATGATGAACAACATGAAAGCCGTGTACTGCAACACTTTTTCCCGGAACATTGGCTTAGATACAGGAAGAGTGCGGCAAGAAAGCAGGCACTAATCAGTTGCTATAAACTGGATATTAGTTAATAGTAATAAGCCAATTCTAAAAATAACCAGTAAATTATAACAGAGCAAGAGTGTCGATAATTTTTACAGGTTTCTCAATATCGCTTTTCCCTTTTTGCAAAGCTGTAAGAGGCGAACAAAAAAGTTGTTCTCGAAATATGTAAGCTAAAATGCAAACTGGAATAGAATAAGCGACAATTTTTTCTCCAAATTTTTTAATATGCTGCTTTTACACAAGTAGGTAAGAATTATAAAAGCCAAGATTTTATGAATTTCTCATTTAAAAAGTGCAAAATTCCAACACTCCGATGTGTTGGCAGGATCTTCTCCAAACAAAGAGAAAAAGTAGCAAGTGTTGGATAAGAAGCGTTTTCTAGTGTTAGTATTTCTGCGCTCTCGCAATCGGCACTAGTCCACTGTCCAAAGAAAAAAAACGGTTCAAACTATGTATCAACTACAAAGTGGTTTCAAATAACGTATTTTAGTTAGTGTCAGGTTATTATTGAATGTCTAGGGGAGTAGAATTGACGTTAATAGATGAGCAAAAATGATGAAGCAATATTTTGTTTATCAAGAGTTTTACTAGCCACGATGGTTGTATAAAAGTGTATTTCGTTTTCCTATCAAAATAAACTAAAATAACAGAAAAAAATTTCGTAGTTTTGAAATTAGAGCGAAAAAAGCATAATTAATTATAATGTGGTTGAAACAATAGCTGTATGAATTGCGAACGGCTATGTGTCATTCTCCATAACATTAAACGTTCAGCCTGCACAGTAGTGTGCCAAGCTTTCTGAGGTACTAATTTAATGTCGGCAAATGTATTCTGCCTTTCCTTCCTCTTCTTCTGCCCCATCTTGTTCATTTATAACTCACTCCATTCGTACAATTCCAACAGCTGATCTATCATGACGAAAGAAAAAATCTAGACGATCACTACGGGCATTGTTGATTCTGTACTTTACGATCTCTCAATAAAAACAGCAACTGCGATGTCACTGAGGACTGAAGAACAACTTTCGGGTAAATGAATCAATTCAATTTTTTTTCAACTTTAAAATAATATGAATAAACAGTCATCAATAGCGTTGTTGCTAATTTCTTACGCTAACATTAACTGCGTTAGTTTAATGTCCCTGTTGATGTTTTTTTTGTTGCTGCTATCGTTGTCGTTGCTCTTCTGTTTTTTTTCTTAGAAACCTCAATTGAATAAGGAACAGCTAATACTGTGTTACTGTCGTCAATATTAATAAACACTGCTTTTCACTTCTGCCCTACATAAATGAACTGTAATTGTGCAGATGTACGGTTCAGTCATAAGGTAGAACTATCACTTTTGAACCAATATTCTTTTGTCTGTTTCGGCGAATGTACTGAAAAACGCGAGTTGACAGTGTCAATTACGAAGATTTATGAGTACAGTGTAAACGACCAAACAGAGTAGAATTAACCAGCAAATAGTAAACTCCATATTTTTATTTTTTATATCATCCAATAAAAATGATTGAGAGGGAGGAAAAAACTGCACATAACTGGCAACAAATTACGGCTATAAACAAATAGAGAAATTGAAAAACTTTCAACAAGGCTTCAATAAGTCACATTTTACAACAAAAAAAAGGCATCTGGATTGAGAATCGATACAAGGTTTCGGAAGGCACATTTGCTTCATTATCCTCTACCTAGTACATGTCAGAAATGTATAAAAACAGAATATGGAAAACTATGATTCAAAAATATAATGACGAGCAAAAATAAAAAGAAATAAAACAGAAAAGAAAGAAAAAGTCTTCTGAATGCAACTAAGCGTACAGATGATGAAAGCACTTTCTAAAAGTCACATTTTAGACATGTATCAGTACCATTTCAAAAAAAGAAATATAGTAATAATAATAATAGATATAAAAGTAAGAATAATAATAATAAGAATAATATAATAAAATAAAAACAAAAACAGTACGGCAAAACCGATATATAAAACAACGATGTGATTAAACACGCCATTGGGTAAACGATATGAACAGAAAAGACAACTCCACACCACCCTTCCAGGACTAATGCCGCAGACAACACTTAACTGTAATCTCCCCCACCTGAATAAAGCCCTATTTTCTCAGCGATGAAGAGTCAGAATATAAATTTTAATTGGAAACTTGCCAACCCACCAAATACTTCAGCTGTTCCCTACCGTACTACTATGAAAAGCCGGATATTCTTCAAAATATAAAGCCCATCCATAACCAAATTGTCCAAAACGAATGGAGGGCAAGAAGGAACACTACGAAGACAGTTTTTTCCTTCTTCTTCTACTTTTTTTTTTAAATGAGCAATTTGTCAAACATCTGGAGCGGTCTCAAAATAGAACAAATATTTAACGAACAAAAAACTTCTAGTGAAGATGGAAATAACAATGATGAACAAATAAAAACTAAAAGAGGAAAACATCGTTCTATTTTTGTATCATTTCATTTTTACTTTTTTTATTTTTTATTTTTTATTTTTCATTTTTTTTTTTTTTGAAAGCAACATCAGAAGACACTAGAGAGACAAATCTCGTTAAGGTCACCACGATAAGATTTTGCTTAAGCAAAGCCAAGGCAAGCAATTTGAATTGAGGAATATATATGTGTAAATTGGCATGTCAAGAAAGATGTGAAAAAAAAGTAAAAAACAATGTAAAAAACTGGCAAAATCAAACAAAAAGAAAAATAAACTAGAAATACGTTTAAAAAATCAAATTGAACAAAAAAACACTTTTTTGTCTGTTTGAATTAAATGAGAAACCTAATCAGTGAGGAATGAAGCGCAAAAAAATTAACGTGTAAACAAAAATGATAAAAAGAAAAATGGTAAAAAAAATTGGGCGGAAGATAACTGTACAACTATGGCACTGTTTGAATTAAAAAAAAGAAAAACAAAACGAAAAAATTCTTTTTGAAAAAATGACTTCTTTCTTTTTTTTTTTTTTTCAAAAAAAGATGAGAAAATGGTACGTATTTTAACCACTTTGAAATTATCTTTTTTTTTTCAGACAAGACGTAAAGCAAGCTTTACAATGTGGAAAATGAAGCAAAGGAAACGAAGGAAACTTCACTGCATCTACGTTTGATTTGCAACAAAGTTTATGACCTCAGAAAATGCCAGAATTGAGAAAAAAATTATACAACAATACGTACCATTTTCCTCCTTTTTTTCAGAAACTTTCAACTACATATTATAAACTACTTAAATTTCTAACTTGAACACACCACAACGGTGACAAAGACTATGGCATCAATGAGCGACTGAACGAATAAACCAACGATTCAACGAACCAACCAACAGGTGAATGAATGAATGAATGAATAAACGATCGAATAATTAAATTAACGAATAAATGAATGAGCGAATGAATAAACGATTTGAATGAATCAGTGAAACAACGAATTCAACAAACATATATTTGCAAGACAAAAAAATGTATGCAAAATTAAGGTATCTGAAAGACAACCTTTGGAGAACTATTAAAGACCAAAAGATAAAAAAAATAAAAAGTTGAAAATTACAGAAATGTAAGAATGTTAGAAGATAAAACAAAGAAAAAGGAAACAATAAGCAAACAAAAAACTGAATTATAACTGCAAATTTGTAGCTTCCTTTTTTTTTCGCAACCATTTTCTTGACTATATAGCTGTAAGAGTAGTTAGGTCCCAAAAAGAAAAATATAACTGTATACTCCAGAATTACGGTCTTATGACTGAGTTTGTAACTGTGGAGTAAGTTTCATTTTCTCTTTCTTGTTTCCCACTACAGTATGCGTTTCAGTCGTCAATTTTTTAACTATATCATCAATGGTGGGCGAGGAACGCTTTAAAAAGATGAAGGGAGAAATGCAAAGGGGACGAAAATTGATGCGGGAAGAAGTTTAAAGTAAAATATAAACGAATAATCTATCTTAATGCGGTTAATCGATAAATAAAGAATAAATTTAGGACTAAAGTTTACTGATTACAGCTTCTACGTATGTTGACATTTTTTTTACGTAATAACGTAACTATATGATTGCCAGCGTAGTAATTTTTTCTGAAGAGAAAAAACAAAAAACTGTGTGGGAGTAACTTGAAAATATGAAGGTGTAATCGCAATATTCCTTCTCTTGAAAAACTGTTAAAAAGTGAAAGAAAATTAAAAAGGCTCTAAAAAAGAAAACGAAACTAAGCAAATTTTACCTTGCAAAAAGGAGATACTAGCTGAGATACAAATAACATGTGAAGTGATCAAGTTTTAACAATTGAAGTCAAGTTGAATCAGTTCAGGATTAAGACAGGCAAGAAAAAGTTATGTACGAAAAAAAGATTATTGAAAATTGCGACGACATGATTTTGTCTCGGAAAGCTTGTGAACTGTAAGCAAACATCGTTTGACCAGATAGCGGCGATTTACCAAGATACCTGTGGTACCACTTTGCCAGTGTTGCTTTCGTCGTTGTCGTTGTTCTGCTGCTGTTGTTGCTGCTGGGCTGCATATTGTATGTGATCGTTATCATGATTATCCAGCTCAAGCTCAGTGGATGACGACGCTTGCTGGTAGTTACCCAGCACGTACTCTAGACCTGTTGGCGTCATTGTGTAATCAGCAGCTGATGGAGTTATCAGTGACGGTGTTTCCATCTGGAAAAAAACCCCCAAAAAAGGTAAAAATAAATAAATAAATTTCCTTTTTTTACTCTTAGTTTCAAATTCTTGTCAAGAAAACAATTGAATGAAAGACAAGGAGCCACTGTGCAACAAAAGAAAATTTTTTTTACGTAATTTATGCAACAAAACAGTTTATCATTATCACACAGTATCGATCACTGAAGACACCAATTCCATTAAAGCTGTCAACAAATATCAATGCATTATTATTAATCAGAAAACTGAAGTTTTCAATTAAAAGCTGAAAATTTTTTTTCTGTACCTTCCTGTTCATGTTAGACTGTTTAACATTAAGTTCAAATGTCGATCAACCTACGTTTGGCTGATATGTGATAACGTTATGGTTCATAAGCATTCCGGCTTGTGAGCTCACTGAGTACTGCGACTGCATTGGAAGGATTTGCTGAACATGACCAAGTGTCATCTGATCGGACTGGCCATTTTGCATGTGAAAATATTCGCCGCAAGAGTTGCTATTTGGAGTCAACGACGAAAGATTTGCCTGTGCAAAGTTTGACACTGATGGTTGCTAAACAAACAGTTGTTTCACCAAATAGAAATACTTGTTTTTTTCCTGATTTTATGTTCTTTAATCATTTAGAAAAAATAAAAAAAAATTTTTTTTACAAGTTCTACAGTACTAATTGTATGCCCAAACCGATTTTATTGTATCAGCAATAATGCAAATTTATAACGGTTGACTAATAAGTGATATAAATAATATATAAAGATTCTACACTTCCACTGCTTATTTGCAAATATATCAAATTCCAAACCTATTCCGCGGTTGAAAGATTATACTTACGAAAAAACTAACCAGCTGATGAGTTCCGAGCATTAGATAGGTGTTAGGATGAACCAACTGAAAAAATGGCTATTATTTAGCGCTAATGAAATTTCAGGAAAACAAATCAAAATTTTTTCTTGTTTAAATTTTGAAAACTGAAGAACGAGAAAAAAATGGAGTGCAAAATAATAGTTAAAAACTTTTGAAAACTGACACTCATTTCCTGTTTTGTGTCGAAAACATTATTCGTAGCATTAAAACCAGTCAGATCATCGCTAAAACAACAGATAAACTAATTAAGCACTAATAAAATTCCATGTCAAATGATTGAAAAAAAGCAAAAAGTACTTCTCAAATTTCTACAGACAGACGCCGCGAAATTGACTGTGTAAGTTTTATTCAACTAACCATAAATTTGGTTTCAGTGCGGTATCATCTTTGAATATTGAAGAAAAACGTGAAGTACTGCTTAAAAGCGAATCCAACTCTTTAGAATCCTTAATCGGTAATGCTTTAGGACTGTTGAAAAAGCCATCCTGTAACCATTGTCTACGATGACTTAGCAATTTAGTTAATAATAACTTTTAATAAAACTTCTATTTGTCTTCTTTGCCTTTAGATGATAATACTCAAAGTACTATACGGTATGCTAAGCAGCACCAGGAACTGAGCTTTTTGTTATAATTAATTCTACTAAAATTTGGTATAGTTATTAATCAAAAACATACTGCCTATATAAACCTTTCGACCAAAAACTGAATTAATAAATTTGGTTTGTTTTCAAAAAATAAATATATCTTCTGCACATTGGTCGTATCCGAAATTATAAGTTAAAAAAAAAACATAGTTTAGAATTTTTGAGCTTATTCACCATATAAGAAAGTCGTTTCTCCTAAATTTAAATGTTTTTCAGTGTGAAGTTTTCTAGATGCACTTTTCTGTTTATAATTGCGGCTACTTTGATCGGAGGTGGATTAAGTGATCAGCATTTGTACAAAAGAATGACTGCTGAAAGATGCCTTACCGCTTGCAATGGTGGATGCAGTAGTCCATCCACGGCTGACAGCGCATTACTCCCAAAAACGCCGTTAGCAGCCGATGTTGTTGTGGGAACAGAACGGCTTGCCACCAACGTTTTTGTAGTACGTTTCTTCGTAGAACAAGTGGTTATCAGCGGGCCACCGTTATGAATAATGTTTGAACTCGATGATGGTATCCCGCCGACATCGTGACTCTCCATCTGAAACTGCAAAACAAAACTAGAAACAATTTTTTTATTGGTTTTGAGATACTATGAAAAATCGATTTTTTCGCCGTATATCGTACTATCTACAGTACTTACTAGATCCTTCATATATTCAGAAGAGCTTTCAAAAATCTCTTTTTCCACCTCGTTACAACGAACAACTGTTGTATCATAAATGATTTAGGGAACATTTGACTGACCATTCGTTTCTTTGCAGCAGTTGCATATGTCAACGTTTTCTCGTTCGGATCATTTTCAAATCCAGTAATTTCGTTTTTTCGTTGATGCATTTCCTTATGACATTTCAAAGAATTTTTCCACTTAAATGTCATCCGACAAACATTGCATTCAAACGGTTTATCATCTGAGTGTATCCGTTTGTGATTCCACAAAGTTGATCGTCGATTGAATCGTGCTTTACACATCTGAAATTAGACTGTAATTTAGCCAAAATTGGTAGCAATTTAAAAGCTCAAAAAAAAGAACAGATTAGCAAATAAAAGCTATTTCTGTTCTTTACAGTATTCAAAAAAATTAAATGGTTAAAAATAGCAACTCACATTACACTCAAATGGTTTTTGCCCAGTATGAGAATTCTGATGCTCTTCAAGTTCCATTTTGGAACCAAATCTTGATGAGCACATATTACAGTTGTATGGGCGCTTTCTGTCAGCTGCTAGTGTTCTCCCTATAGTAAATAAGTTCTACAGCTTCAAAATGCGTCAAAAAACGCACTTCCACCTAATCCAATTTGACTAACACTAGTAAATAAAAAATATAACTCAAAATTTAATAAACTTTGATACAAAAAGAGATAAGATCTTATACCGTTCTGCATAGCTGGAGACGCTTGAGATGCAATTGTAGCGGCATTATTGTCATGGCTATAGAGCCGATGATCACTTGAACAAGACGACATTGACGTAACTTAAAAAAAGCATCCACATAAAATTTTAGTTTTTTATCGTTTAGTGCAGTAATAATTTGAAGTACAAAAAAACAGAACAGCTGAAAATACGTTTAAGTATTTCATAGCTATTATTATTGGCTATACTTAACGATAAGTATTATTTGGATACGGAACGGTAATAAACCACTAAAAGCAGTTAATGATGGCTAACTGAATACGAAAAAAAGAAGTGTAAACGTTTTTAAACTCGGAATTTCATACTATAGCTCGTGAAACAAATTCTTTATCTCCATTATTATTATCTTCATCAAATACTAGTATTCTGATCTAACCAAATTTTTTTACCACAAAATTCTACCTGAAGGAGAAGTCAACAATGTTTGGGGAATCTGTTGAGAAGCGTCGTCACTTGGGGGTGTGGACGGTGCTGATGGAGGTTGTTCAGATTTGACAATAAATGAGCTTGGCAGATACTGTGCTGGAAGCGATTGATGAACCTCCATGTAAATTAACACAGCGACAGTAGCAGAAAGCTAGTCGTTGAAATAGAAAGTTGAAGTCCCAACTTCTGAATCAGCTATATACAGGTAGACTCATCAATGCAATCAGTTGGCTGCCACCAAATGGTAATCGTGTATAGACAAAAAAAAAAGGCAGAAAAAAAGCCTGCAATTATGCTTCATCAATTTTTTTGTATGTTCCTCAGAGCTTTATGTATTAGAATCGTCATCAACACATTCAATGTTGATAAACTGATAACAATTGTACAGTAAACAGGCAAACAAATTTTCTACATAATGATAATAAAATTATTTAAAAAAATATCTAAAAAAATATCCTCACTGAAATTTATAGAAAAATAACTAAATAAATAAATCCCCTTAAAGTTAAGGACAACCACCAGTAAAGAACTCACACATTCACTCGCTCACTTACATACAAAAACACATACACACATAACAATTACAATATAATTTATATTGCTAAATAATATTTCATTTAAACTTGAAGAAATATTCAATCTTTGTCTC